GAGCCGGCCTCTCCCTGGCCCAAGTTCTGCAGCTGTGGGAAACTGCTGCTCAGTCTGGCCCATGGGGGCCAGGGACTGCCTGGGACAAGCTTGTTGCATCACTTGGTTCAAATGCTTCCTTTTACAGAGAGGGAAACTGAGACCTAGAGAATGCAGGAACTCAGCCTGATCCTTGAAAAGTGGGCAGCAGAGTCAGCAGGGGCTCCCCTGCCCTGCATGGCATCGTCTATGTCCTTGTATAGGGATGGGATGGTGCTAGGGGAAAATCCCAGGGGGATAAACCTTGGAGTCTCCTCAGATGGCCCCTGGGAACCACAAAAGAGGCTTAGGCTGTGGACACAACCTCTTCTGGGCAGTGGGGGGTTTCCCCCTAAATCCCTTCCCTCAGGCTCCTCCTCTACTCTTGGTACCCACTTTCGGGCTAGTTGTGCTCTGGCTTAAAGGGGCAGGGTGTTCTGCCTACCATGCTGACAGCTGACTCGCATGGGAAAACTATTTGCCAAAGGACTCTCTTGGGGCACTGGGGCAGGGACTGTGGGCAGCTGTGCCCAGGCTCCAGATGGTACAGAGAGCAGCCAAACCAAGGTGGGGGTTGGCACCGGGAATCCTTTCAGTATGCCAAGCGCAGTGAGAGCCAGGCACTGGGCCCAGAAAGGCCTACAGCCCTCAGGGGGGTACTGGTCACTGGGGAGAGGGTAGGACCCACATGGCCCAGGGGCTCCTGCCACGCATCCACAAGGGAACACTCTGAGCCTCTCAAGAAAAAAATCTAGCCCAATGCCCGACCTGTAGTGGGTGAGGGCTCCTCTGATTGTGGAGAGCCTGTGCCAGCCTCCTCCCTGTGGGCTGCTCAGAGGGCACAGACAGCTGCAGAGCCACGAAGGGAGGCAGGAGGCGGGGTGGTGGTGGTGAAGCAGGCTAGGAGGGGCTGTGGTTCAAAAGGGGAGAGCTGGGCTTGGAGGGACTCTGTCCCAAGGGTACAAACAAGAAATGGAGAGGGGCTTGCCCAGCCTTGGAGCCTCTGGGTGGTCCCACCAGTTAACACACCAGCTGTTAACCGAAAGGCTGGAAGTTCGTTCATTTTACCCTGGGCGTGGTGACCAGAGAAAAGGGCTGGCAATTTACTTCTGAAAGGCCAACCTTTGAGAATGGATGGGACGCAGTTTGACTCAGACCCACATGGGGTCCATGAGTCAGAAGCAGCTCAGTGTCAATGCCAACAAGTGCCCGCTGGCCCCAGGTTCTCACCAAGGCTGTGGGCACATGTGGGAGCTAGCTCTGCATGGCACCAAGCTGGCTGGCTCAGGGGTGTGGTTTGTGGGTCCTTAAGATGTTCCTTTCCCCCCAGGGCCCCTTCCATTTCCTGCACTTATTCCCACCTGCCCTGAGCTGTCCCTGTGAATTCATGGAGGGGTTCAACAAAACCCACTGCCATCGAGTCCATGCCAACTTACAGTGACCCTCGAGGACAGCGGAGAACTGTCCCTGTGAGGTTCTGAGACTAACGATGGGAGTAGCAAGACTCATCTTTCTCCCAAGGAGTGGCTGGTGCGTTCAAACTGCTGACCTTGTGGTCAGGAGCCCGATGGGTAAAGAACCACACTACAAGGGCGCCTACGGAGGGGCTGGTGAGAACTTATTCATAAATGAAGCCACCATGGACAGGTCCCCTCTCCTCAAGCCTTGAGGGGCAGCCTCTCCCCCAGCCCACCCCCAAGTCCAGTGTAGCCTGGCTCAGCTGCTGGAGTTGGGTCGGAGGGCACTGCTCTGGGGCCTGGCCTCTGGGACTTAGACTAGCGGTTCTCAACCCGTGGGTCGCGACCTCTTTGCGGGTCAAACGACCTTTCACAGGGGTTGCCCGATTCATAACAGTAGCAAAATTACAGTTATGAAGTAGCAACAAAAATAATATTGTGGTTGGGGTCATCACAACATGAGGAACTGTATGAAAGGGTCAGGGCATTAGGAACATTGAAAACCACTGCAGTAGACCTGCCTGCCTGCTGATCCCAGCAGGAACTTGCCTCCAGGAAGCCTTCCCTGACTCCCTCCCCAGTCTCCCAGCCCCTGCTGTGTCCTCAACAGCATAGAAAGTTCAGCAGTGTCTGTTTATGATTCCTGACTCCCCCATAACTGGGAAGAGCTGTATCCCCAGCAAGTGCCCAGTTTAAAAAACTTGCAGAACAAATGCATCCATCCCAGACCCAGACCCGGAGGGAGTGATAAACAACGGAGAGACCCTGGCAACTCCCTTTCCTGAGCCAGGCCAAGGCTGTTCACCTCTCTGGGGCCCAGGTCTGCAGATCCAGTCCTCCAGGTCTGCGTGGCGGCCTGCACTGGTGCCCGTGGGGGTCAGCCTTGGAAGCAGCAGAACCTGCAGTCTGGCTTCAGCTCTGCTTCTGTCTCTTTGTCCCGTTTTGCTGCTGCCTCAACGCTGGCCACTCTGCCCACCCGCCCTCCCGTGGCCTCTGACCCTGGCCCAGGCCATCCGGGTCCGCAGGGTCCTGGGGGGTCCCAGGATACTAAGGTAGCACGTGGGACTAGTCTCTGCCTGACACAATTCCTGACAACACGGCAGGGCTGTGGCAGGTCTTCGTCTCAAGGTTGCCTGGTAACGGCTTTTGCATTCTGATGAAAAAAAAAAACCCAACAAAACAAAACGGTGGCAGCATCAGACAACAGTCACAGGGCTTGTGTGAGCGGTGGGCATGGTGAGGGTGGGATGTGGACGGGGCTGGGGCCAGTTGAACTTGCAACTTGTTCCCCCCGCTCTGAGGCAGATACCAGGCTGGACCCAACTTGGCCCAGGGGGCTACAGAGGGTGTGGTAGGCTGGGAAGAGGGGGCTCGGGCAGGCAGCCTAGGCCTGCATGGGACACCCAGCCTGGTATCTGCCCCTCCCACCCCCCCTCCCCACACCTGCAGCTGGCGCCTTCCACCCGGTGAGCAGCCGCAGCCCAGCCGGTGCCACCTCTCATTAGGTGATGATTTTACATTAATTACCTTAATTAAGCGGTGCTGAGTGCTAATGGCTTGGAGGGGGGGGTGCCTTTTCCTAATTACCCTCCCAGTCAGCCCAGAGTGAGGGGCACAGAGCTTGGCAGAGCAGGAGCAAACTGTTGTGGAAAGAAGGCGGGGAGGCCCACCAGGGGTGGGCGAGAGGCCGAGGCAGTTCCTGGGAGATGACCTTCGCCCCCCCACAGGGCCAGGCTCAGAGAGCCCCCTCTGGTGGGCCTGGCTCTCAGGGGCCAGGCTGGGAGGCATTGCCCCAGGACAGGGGTGGGTGGCTCCAGGGACAAATCCAGGGTCTGCAGGGAGTTGGGCTGGGCGGGACCCAGGCCTGGCAGCACCACCCTGCTCCCTGGATGCCTGTCCCCTGCCCTGCTTCTCCTCAGCCCCCTGCCTGACGTCTTCCACCGAGCTGAAGCTTCTGTCTGCCCCATCTCTGCCCAGTCTCCAAGCCCCAGGTCAGCCATCACCTCGCTCAGTCACTCACGAGGTCGTGCCTGCCGTAATAACGGGGCAGCAAAAAGGAGGAAGACCATTGGCAGGTGGATTGACACAGTGGCTCCATCGGTTGACGCACACATAAGCCCATCAGTGAGGATGGCGCAGGACTGGGCAGTGCTGGGTTCTGTTGTGCACAGAGTCGCTATTGGTCAAGATAGAGGGACCCGACAACAAGCACAGTCAGCCCTTTGCCCATCGAGTCAGCCAACACAGGGATGTCCGTCTGGCCCCCATACTGCACAGCACCCTCATGGAGCTCCCCTGCGTCCGGCGAGGGAGGTGGGAAGCAGCTGCAACAGATTGATAGGAGGCAGTGAGATAAGAGCAGGTGGGGGTGGCCCTGGTCTGGAGATCAGGAGAGAGATCCCAGAGATAGTGATGCCAGGGTCAGGTCCTGAGGTGGGGGTGGGGGTGGGGGGCATTCTACTCAATGCAGAAGCCGAGTGGGCAACAAGGGAAGAAGTGGTCACAGATGATCTGGGTGCTGTGGGGTGAGGTCTCAAGAGAGTAGTCTTGACTCTAGGACCTTGGGGAGGCTTGGTGGGCAGGGTGGATTCTGTTAGAGAGAAATTACTCCAATAGGTGGAGCGGGCTGGTCGGAGCACGTGCAGGTGTGGTGAAGGCAAGGAGCCCACAACCGAGGTCTGGGACCCCGTGGAGGCTCTAGAGATGCGGGGAGAGAAGGCAGAACTTTCGGGGCTCTCGTGGTCAGAGAGAACGGAAGGAAGGGCTGATGGGACAGGGAGAGGGTGTATAGCCCCAGGGGCACCCCGCCCCCTGCATCGATGTGATGTGACCGCTGGGGTCAGTCTCTGAGGATGGGAGGGTGGTGGTGAGCAGGTGTGGGGAGTGGGGAGCTTGTCAGACCTTGTGAGTTCCCACAGGCTCAGGCCTTGGGATTCAGAGCGAATCTGAGCTAGATTCTGGGGCAGGGGAGTCACCAGTCCAGCAATGCCACCCTGGGAGGACTGGGATTGCTCAGGGAGGCCGGGGCTGGAGCAAGAGATCAGCACTAACGGTTTCCCAGCTGCTGTTACCTGCCCTCCGTCTGACTCCCCCACCCTGTGCCTGCGCCATCACCTCCCGCGCCAGGCTCTCATCTATTGCCTCCATCTCTGCGCCCCCAGAGCCAGCCCAGGTGGCCCGGAGGTGCTCCTCAAGGTACGCACACACAAATGACTTCAGGGCTCCGGAATGCTCAAGCCCAGCCACATCCTCTCTGCTCAGCCACGTCCACTCCGCTGCCACCCACGTCCACACTCATCCAAGGTGAACACCCCCTCCTCTGAGCCCCACCAAGACCCGTGGGGGTGGGTGAACCCTGCCTCTTCCACAGCCCCTCCCAGGCTGAGGGGCAGCAGGAACCCCCACTGCTCCTTGGTGTCCAGGACGGCATCTGACCTTGGTTTCAGCGCATCTCCTAGCCTTGGCCCTACTCCCTCTTCCAACGGGCATTTCCCCCTTTGACCCTGCCCAATCCAAGCCACATACCTTGATTTCTACTCCGTAGCCAGGATAGACAGAAATGTAGTAGAAACAGTCCAGGCCGACCTCCGAGGGGGCATTGGCAGCTCTGGGAGAGTCCAGGAAGCCCTCTGGACCGGAGAAATTCCAGCTGCAAGGGCCTGGGAGGCGGGAGGGGACATAAGCATAAGGCCAGCTCTGGTACAGTGGGTCCAAGTGAGGCCAGATCGTGCGCGCGTGCGTGTGTGTGTGTGTGTGTGTGTGTGTGTCTGTGTGTGTGTGTGTGTGTGTGTGTGTCTGTGTGTGTGTGTGTGTGTGTGTGAAGCCCATCTGCTAGGATGCTATTCTGAGCACCTATTCTGCTCATCTCAATTCTTAGAACAGTCCAACGACACAGGACTTATCCCCATTCTATAGGTAAGGCTCAGCGAGGTTATGTTAAATAAACTGCCTTGGCTCGTGCTGTAGCTGGAAGAATTCGGATGTGAATCCCGTCTTTCTGACCCTAACCCACATGCCTCTGGCAGGTTGCCCCTGGGTACAGGATGTTGGAGACGAGGAACTTAGGGCCCCGAAGCTCTCCCCCTCCATGCCCACTTCCAGATCTGCAAAGCAGCAGGGAACTGACCTGGTGCCTGGACTGTGGTGACGGTGGTGGTGATGATGGTGGTCGTAGAGGTGGTCTCCTCATCGTCCCCCGAAGCTGTGGAGGTGGCCGTGGTCCTTTCAAGCCTGAGTCCAGTGGTCTGAGACACGACCTCTGGAGCCCATGGCCTGCCCATGTCGCCTGGACCTTCTTGGGTGGGAGTCCAGGTTCTGCCAGGGGGCGTAGTGCTGGGCTTCTCCCCTGGGCTTGGGGTGGGCACCGCCAGGCTGGGCCCTGGAGGTAGAGGAGTCGTGACAGGAAGTGCAGGGGGCTCTGACTCCAGGCTCCAGGGTCCCTCCCTGGTCTGGGGCTGAACGGGTGCTGTAGCTGTGGCCGGAGTGGGGCTGGTGAAGATGGGGCGGCTATCCTGGTTGGCCAGGCGAGGGAGGGGACTCGGAGGGAAGGGTGCCGGTGGGTCCGGCTGGAAGGGCGGCGCGGGCCTCAGCTCCTCCTCTCCCTGCTCCAGGCCTTGGAGGAATTCCTCTAGCAGCGGGTGGTGGTTGAGCAGCTTCAGGGTTGGGGCAGTGGTGACAAAATGGATTCCTCCGTGTTCTGGCTGCTCAGGTGTAGGGGCTGCAGTCAGCTCCTTGTCTGTGTCCTCGATGGCTAGGGCCTGCCCTTCACCCATGGTTGGTGCCTCCGAGGAGAGTCCTGAAATAATAATGAACGGTCACAGGGTCTCCCCCTGCCCAACAGGTAGTAGGCGATCCAACTCCCTGTTGACAGAGTGGGCTTACCGTTGAGAATCATGGAGTGACAGCGCTAAAAGTGGACGTGAGATCCTATCACCTATTCCAAGGATGACACAGGAGATCTTCCCCTCCGGCACCAGAGACAGGCATGGCTAATCAATCTTTACACTATTTTCTGCTATCCTGATTCAGAGTCAGAATCCTTTTCAACACAGGCAGCCATGCCTGCCACCTCCGGCTGACATGACAGATACATATTTGTCATCATTAATGAACTCAAAGACCTATCTTACTGATGAGGAAACAGGCCAGAGAAAGGAAGTGATTTGCTCAAAGTGACATAGCCACTCGGTTGAGGAACTGAGATAAGAACCTTAGCAAGTTTTAAAAAAAAAAAGAACCTTAGCAAGTGACAACCCCCCCCTCTCCAACTAAAGTGCCTTTTATGCCAGATATGATAGGGCATTTCAAATTCATGTTTTGTTCTCAGCGCATCTATTGGCCATTAGGGTCAGTAAAATGCTTTAGAGTTGAGGTTTTAATTGGGAGTTCCTCGTGGAGGCGTGGCTTCTCTGTCGGAGCACGTACATCCTGCTTTTCTCGTGTCTTCTAAGACAACCATTTCTCAGGCTCCATCCCTCGCCTGGGATTTGTCTAGAGCACCCCCAAGCCCCACTTCCATTGAGTCGATTCCGACCCATAACAACCCTGAGGCTGCCGGTCTTTAGGGGAACAGAAAGTCTCGTCTTTCTCCCGAGGAGCAGCGGGGTGGGTTTGAACTGCTGGCTGTGGGGTTAGCAGTCTAACGCGTATCTGACAGCACCTCGGGGGCTTCTTTTCATAGCATCACTGTAAGTAGAATGGGAAGAGTCAGGCAGATGTGGCTTTAAATCCCAGAGCCGTCAGTCTTGAGACGATGCAACACCTCAGGTAAATAAATTAAACTCTCAGAAGCTCAGCTTTCTCGTTTGTTGTTTTTTTTTTTTTTAAATCAGCCTTAACTAAGATACGCATTCCCTTCCCCACTCCGTGTTGTCTCCCTGAGTTCCCTTAATCTTTCTTTGGACACTAGTCAGGATCCATCTAAGGCGGTGTGGAAAGCAGGAATCATAGATAACTATCAGGCATGCTACAACACCCCCCCAGCCCCCCCACCCCCGCTATCTGTGGCAGACATTGCTAATCGATCTTGGCTCTTTCTTGCTGAGGTCACAGGGGATTTCAGAACCCTTCCCCGCACAGCTCTCCAGATAGCCACTACCAATAGATTACCTAGATAAGCCATGGCGATGACACCTGTTGGCTGTCTCAGGTCTGAGGTACAGATTGCTCTGCTATTGAATACGGTGATTTACTCAACCGCAACGCTTGAGAAATGATGCATATTCTACTTGTAGCTCATTGGGTTCCCTGGATCCTTAGCTGCCAGGAAAAGATGACTGGATGCTGCTGGCCGTGGACTGAGCTCACCCAGAATCAGCCCTCTGAGAAGGCTGGGCGGGCGGATGCTCCTGATCCTCAGAGATCTCAAAATGGCTGCACGAGGACTTGAAGGGATGCGCAGCCGCCAGGTGAAACGAACAGAATCTGTAAGGGGAAAGTCGGTTCCTCTTTCCGTCTGGTGGTGGGGCTGTCATTCCACGGGCTCACACCCACCCCGTGGATTGGCAGGCAGGAGGGCATGGCAGATGGCCTACATTCTGTTCAGGAGACCATGGCAGCTCTGATGTGTCAGACAAATGGGCGGGGGGAGGAAGTCGAGGTGGGAGGCGGATGCAGGTCAGAGGGCTCTATTCTTCTGGGTCAGCCAGGCCAGGGGCCCCCAGAGCTCTGAGAAATCAGAGCCTCTGTTTCTTGAGATGCTCCCAGACGCGGCCCAGGTGTACCCTGCCATCTGGGTCTCACCAGGCATCTAACTGGGCACTGTGTTGTGGCGTGACCCAGACTCCCAGGTGCAGATGGTCTACGAGTGGCGGAGAGTGACATGCCAGGAGAGGGCCCACCCCCCACATGCCACAGGGTCTATGCCAAGTGAGCAGAGACTCCTTGTGTGCGGTGAGGAGGCGGCGGTGGCGCTCTACTGGCCACATCCTTTGACCTCCTGCAGTCATGCAGGAGCCCTGGTGACGAAGTGGTTGCCTGTTGGGCTGCGGTCTGCAAGTCAGCAGTTCAAAACCGCCAGTCGCACCTTGGGAGAAACAAGGGGCTCTCTGCTCCGGTAAAGAATGACAATTTTGGAGACTCAGAGGGGCAGTTCTACCCTGTCCTGTGGGGTCGCTCTGAGTCGGCATCGACTCGATGGCAGTGAGTTTAGTTTTGTTTAGGGTTGTGTGTTGCTCGTGTGTCCCCTTCCTGGGTGGGCCCTGGCTCCCGGGGTAGACACCTGTGGGGCTTTTCATTGGGAGAATGGACAGGGTTCCTCTGTCTTGGGAAATGACCACAGTGGGCACAGCCCCCCCCCTTGGCGACTGCCAGGTGGGTGCTGGGCAATGGAGCGAGGCTAATGGGCACCTCCCGTCACTGTCGATTGCACTGATTGTGTTATCTGGGGGGACTGAGCACTTGGTTAAATGGGATGGAGATAGCATATCAAACGAGCAAATTGATTCCACAATCAGCTGCCACTTGGTCCCAGCGGGTGCCACCCACTGTCAGCGAGGGTAAGATAATCTCTGGTAGACAAGCTGTTTCAGGGGCGAGGGCATGTCCAGACACCCTGGTGGACTCCAGGAGGCTCCCGGGGGCTGTGGCCTAGAGGCCATAGGCCTTCTCCCCACCTGGGCTGATTGAATTCAGGAGCACAGGGCCTGACCAAGGGGTGGGCCCCTTGCCCACTGCACCTCCTTGGGTATTCTTGGTCCTATCTCTTGTCCGCCCCCACCCCATCTCCTTGAGCTGAGGGTGTGATACAAGGGACAGTAGAAGAGATGTTGGGGGCCCAGTCTCATTAGGTACCTACTGTGTGCAGACATTGAGTCAGGCCCTTCACACAGCTTATAGTGTCTCATCCACACTGCAACTCTGAGAAGCCCTGGTGGCATAGTGGTTATGTGTTGGGTGGCTAACTGCAAGGTCAGCAGTTTGAAACCCCAACCACTCCTTGGGAGAGAGACAGCGGGCTTTCTACTCTCAGAAGCCCACAGGGGCAATTCTACCCTGTCCTACAGGGTCCTTACGAGTCGGCATCGACTGGATGGCAGTGAGTTTTGAGTGAGCAACTCTGAGGAGCCCTGGCGGTGCTCTCTGGTCAACGTTGGGCTGCTAACCTCAAGGCCCAAGGTCCGCGGTTCAAACCCACCAGCCACTCTTCGGGGAAAAGAGGAGACTGGTTGGTCTTGACAGGATTAAAGCTCAGGAATCCATGTCAAGGCACACTCTGAGTTCAAGTGGACTCAGTAGCAGTGGGCATTTTTGGTTTTTGGTTTCTTTTCCACCTGTGTGAGATGAGAACTTTCGTCCCACTTTGCAAAGAAACTGAAGCCCTGGAGCTGAAAGGTGAGGGGACTTGTCCAAGGTCCCACAGTGGTGGAGTCGACGAGATTGGAATCTGTCTACCTATCCAAGTCTCAAGCCTTTCCCCAGAACCAGGCTGCCTCTCAGGAGGAAGAGCCCAGAGCTACCCCCACTGATGAGATTACTGTGGGAGTCTGGGAACAAAAGCCCAGAGGGAGGAGTGGACTTGTTCAAGGTCTCCTGAAGACTGGTTGAGGAGGAGCTGGGGCTATCGCCTAGGGCACAGGCTCCCAGGTTCCCAAACTCAGGCTTCTTAGGACCTAGGTTGAGTGTGCGCTTCCCTGAACCCCCAGCAGTACCCTCCCCGCCGCAGGAGCCGGGTCTGAGTCTGAGACCCAAACCAGAGACCCAGCTCCACAGCTCCGGTGCAGGGCCTGAGTTCCACTGTGACCTCTGCCACTGTGAAGTCCCCTCTGGGCTTTCTCCCCTGTAAAGTGGACACTGTTGTTGTTTTTTTTTGTTTTGGAGGCTGGCCAGGCCTCTGGAGGGTAGGGGGACGGACTGGCCTGGGACCATGGTCTCTGTTGGGTGGTGGTCTGTGTGACTCTGAGCATGTCAATTCATGTCTCTGACCCTAAGCCTCCTCCCCCTTAACATGGGGATACTACTGTACCACCTATGCAAAGGGTAGGCTACGTACTGGGCTGCTAACCTCAAGGTCAGGGGTTCAAACCCACTCGCCACTCTGAGCGAGAAAGATGAGCCTATGTAGGTCACTAGAGTCCAAATGGACTTGGTGGCAGTGAGTTTGTTTTGTTCTGTTTTGGGGTACCCACAGAGCAGCCACTTTCATGGGCCTGCATGGTCAAGGCAAGACAGCCCCAGGGCCTCCACTGGGTGCCAGGCAGAGGGACACCCCCCCTACCCCCAGGCTATTCCTCGATCCCCTCCCCTCCCACAGAGCTGGGGGCTGCCTCCCCCAAGCCACCCAGTTTGAGGAAAACCCCCTCTCCTGCCCTCTAGTACCACCCCCTCCACGGTAGAAGCCCAGAATTTCCCGGCAGCCCCCAGCCCTGGCGTGGCCTGCCGGGCTTGGGCCCTCCCCCCGCATTAGCTCTTAAGCTATGCAAATAGACATCGGAGGGAGCCCTGTTTAAAGTATTTAGACGAAATGAAACAAGGCTTTCATCGGCACTAATGAGCCATTCAGGATGCCTCCCGGTGGATTCACTCCCTCTCTGCCTCCCGGCCCCTGCTGTCCCCCTCCCAGCCCTCTCCACCCAATCCCCCGCCGGGGCTCCCCTGGGAGGGCCACCTATCTCGGCGCCCCGCCCCTCCAGCCTCTTGGAACCCAGCTAGGTGAAGCCAGAGAAGAGAGCCCAGGTCCCCCACTTGCTCCAGCCTTGGAGGGAGATGGGAGCCCAGCCTGGGTGTGGAGGAAGCCAAAGTTCTCCTTTGCCGCAAGGAAGTCCTTCGCACCCTCATTTATAGAAGGGGAAACTGAGGCTGAGGGAGCCTAGGGTCAGCGTGCTGTGGGGCTGGAGTTGGGACTGGTTTGTGTGAAGGCTTAGGCTGAGGCTGAGGCTGGAGGGTGCTTAGGCCAGGTGACGATGGCTAGACTCTGATGCCACCTCGGGGTCACCTGCCTGTTACCTAGGTGTTATTGTTTCTCAGGTGCTTCTGCAGAAACAGCCGGAAAGTCTCAGGTGCTAGCCCTGAATCTGGGCCTCACTAGCCGGGCAACCTGAGCATGGGACTGGCCCATGTGAGCACCCTGTTCCCTCATCCATGGGTAGGGTCCACTCTGGGGTTGGGGAGGCCACATGGAGAGACCGATTGGTGCCCCCATCTGCTAGCACCGCCTGGCATTCTGTGAAGACAGGAAGAGTCACCGGCCACTCTGGCAGCCCCTCTGGAGAGGCCAGGTATTCTTCACCCAGGGTCCAAGCTGGGGGCCCCTCTGTGCCTGGCACGGAGTGGGTGGGAAGGAAAAGGGGGGGGGGCAAAGTTTGGAGATGCAGCCAGATTGGATTTCCACCTCTCGCCTTGGCAGCACTCGCTTTTGGTTTGTGGTGGAAGCACAGCAGGTAGGAGCCGGAGGGGTCCTGTGGGCAGGGATCCCACCCATGGGGGCTCCAGAGGTTAAGCTGGCCAGCCCTGGGAGAATGAGAATTTAATGGGATCCATTTATTATCCCATAAAAGTTAATGAGTTTATTCTGGAGGTTCCCTGGCCCCTTTCAAGTTTTAATAGGGGATTAGTGAGGGCTTGGCCCTTGCAGACTCCCATTACCCCAGAGTCCCAAGGGAAGGGCAGGAAGCCCTGGGAGCGAGAGCCCCTGTGCATGTGGTGGTGGTGGTGGGGGACCTGCAGCCTGAGCCAGATCTCCACAGTGACAGTTCCACTGGACCCGGCCCTGTTCTGTGTTCTGGGGACCGTAGGCATTCTCACCCTTCCGTTCTCCATGAGACTGAAATCACCCTCCCGGGGTCCCCGCCTCGGCAGTGGGCCTGCTGCGGTTGCCCCCTTGCATTAGCAGGGGAGACGACACAACCCCCAGACGACAGGTGGGGAAACTGAGGTCCAGACCTGGGAGGTAGCTTTTCTAAGGTGTCCCAGAAGGGACACCCAGGGTCCTGTTTCCTGTGGCCAGGAGTCCGATGGGGTGGAGAGGGCACTGTAATAGGTCTTCTCTCAACCTCCCCTCACTTAGGGGAGGCTTGGGCCATTGTCCCCAGCGATCAAGACATTGAGACCCAGAGTAGCAAAGTAACTTGTCTCTGAGCCTATGCTAGAACCACTTCCACAGCTCAGTTCTACCCATTCTGCTCAGGGTCTCTCCAATGAGGCCACTCATGTCC